AATTCTCTGGCGGAAAGGAAAGAAAATGTAAGCATCAATTTTTGGGTTCAGTTGTGTGAAACTTAATGGCATGTTAATAGATACAATTCCCATCTGTTTTTCTTTTCTTTTTTTCTGGGGATTTAGTTTCATGTAATGACCACTTGGTTAAGCCCGAGGCTCAGACCAGTTTTACATCAGCAGCTGGCACTTAATGAAGTCGGTCTTTCTCTGGGCTTAGGAAGAGCAGCATAAATTAAGAAATGCCTCTCCATAGAATCACTTATTTGCGCACCAGGTATACTAAAACATAAAAAATATGCAATGGACTCAAAACAAGCAATATGATAAAACTATTCTTCGTTGAACGAGTTATAACAAATTTTACACCAGTATTTCTAGGACTAATTAGAAGTATCTTCGGGGAACGAAATTCTAGTTGACTGCAAGCACTTAAAAAGTATATAGATTTTATAGAAATGTCAAATGGAACAACGTAGGTGGCTTGGCAAGAAATTATACCACACGACATCAGGTCCTGGATTGATGCCAGTGCAAGCAATTTGCAGTTTGGATTTGGAGCACCGATTTCCAAAGCTGGTTTTTTATTCTTGTTAGATGAGGGAAGCTAAGAACTTGCTTTCTAGCTCCATTCATTTATCTTTCAGCAATTAAGCAGAACTTCAGAAACACTAATTGTTCATATCCCATGGTAATTGGTAGCTTTCAGGTACTAATTTCCAGTACTAACCCCCCAAACAGAATCAACACTTACTTCTTCCTTACGACACAATTGAAAGGGGTTGAAAAATAACTTCTCACGTGGCACAAACTAGTCCATTGTACCACCATAAATGGTAACATATAGCCTCAAGAATTCATATTTCAAAGTATGCTTCAGGCTCAACAAATAATATGCAATGTTTATAATGTATATATTTTTATTTTTCATGGTCAAGTCCTGGATTAACTTCTTTTGTCATTAAATGCTGATTTTTATGATCCTTTTTTTGAAGAAATGGCGAACGGGATTTGTTCAACTTACTAGGATCAATGTTTATTTTCATACAATTTACGGGAATAGGCAACAGTTCCTCCATTCTACCATTTATAGCCAATGAGCGCACAATTATGTATAGAGAAAGGTTTGCCGGAATGTACTCCTCATGGGCTTATTCATTTGCACAGGTTCAGAAATTTTCATAACCATATCTTATTGTTTCCAAAGGTTAAAATACAAAAGATTGCTGCATTCTAAGACATTTTCAGGTGAACATGATCTTTCATATGTTGCAGGTGACTATTGAGGTCCCATATGTATTTCTTCAAGCAGTTCTATTTGTGATAATCACCTATCCAGCAATAGATTTTTTCTGGTCTGTCAATAAAGTATTTTGGTACTTCTACACAATGTTTTGTACGATGCTCTACTACACTTACCTTGGCATGTTGGTTGTTTCCTTGACCCCAAGTCTCCAAGTAGCTTCAGTATTTTCAAGCTTCAGCTATACCATGTTAAACTTGTTCTCAGGGTTCATCATACCTGGACCAGTAAGACTTCTCTTGACCCTGACAGATTTTATTGCATTAGTTACAGAATGTTTCAGACAATAATCATCAATATTAGCTGTCTTGTTTCTGGTAAATATGGTTTTACAATGCAGAAAGTTTACAAAGCACAATTCTTACTGCAGCTTGAGTTACAAATCAAATTCTCAGTTGAAATAATTTTCCAAGAATGGAAGTCATTTGATGCTTGACACATAAAAACATAGGCCTGTTACAATGTATTATAACTCCTGCTTATAACAGACATGTTATTCAGCTGATCTAACAGTCACATTTTCCTTTTTTTCCCATACAGAAAATTCCGACTTGGTGGGTTTGGTGTTACTGGGTTTGCCCAACAGCATGGTCCCTTAAAGGCCTTCTGACTTCACAATATGGAGATGTAAATGATGAAATATTAGTGTTTGGGGAAAGCAAAGCAATCAATGCCTTCTTAGAAAGTTATTTTGGATATCATCATAATGATATCATCATAATGATTTGGGTGTTGTAGCACTTGTTCTCATTGCTTTCCCGCTTATCTTTGCATCTGTTTTTGCATTTTTTATAGCAAATCTAAACTTTCAGAGGAGGTAATAGCCCGGAACACTTGTGTTAAGTTTTGATAAGATATTCATAGTTGAAAATTTAGTGTATAGCTATTTATGCAATGGTATAGTATGAGAAACTATAAGATTGATTACTTAAGGCAATGATTATAATGAAATACAGCACAGTTCAAGAGCTTAGTCTTCAACAAATGCATGGCTGTGCGATTAAAAAATAATTAAGACATCAGAAGATCTGCCTTGTTCTTTACTTTTTCTTCACATAAGTCTGCCTCATCCCACACAAGTTTAAGAGGAACATAAGAAGGTAAAAACAAATAATACCATTAATGGTCCCTTAAGTATGAGTCACTTTGGTTCTCATTCTTTTAATTTAGTCACTTTACTTTAGTATTACAATTTTTCAATTTGTGTCACTTTGGTCATATATAAATGACATAATAAAGTAATCAAAGGAAGTAGTTGTGTCCGCATCACGTGTGTGGAGTCAATTTAGTTTCTAATTTTGTGTCTCTTTTGTTCTCATTGACTCATTCTTTTAATTTCATTGTTCTCATTCTTACGTGACCACACTTGATATTATTCTTTGGAAACTTGAGGGCAATAATGCTCACTTTTGTTAGTCAAATTTACAAATGGTCATTTTTATTGGACCAAAATGATGCAACTTAAAAACTTAAGGGATTGAAGTGAAGAAATTGAAAGAATGAGTATCAAATTAACAAAAAGTGCATACTTGAGGGAGCATTATTGTATTTTATCCAAATAACATATAATCAATCCTGTCATAGAAGCTGAACAAATTAAACCACGAACTCAAAAGAAAATCCAAACGAAAAAAATGCAAAAGCGAGGAAGATTGTCCAAGTTAGTCCAAAATGCATTGGAGGTAAGGGTGGCAAGTTTAGACATGACACAACCTCGACAAACAAAGGTACCAATTATTCTATGTTTCAAGATTTAGACGGCAACCGTGTTGTGGATTTTGCTATTTTTGAGAAAGGTTTATGTCTCTAGACTTAAAAGTTGAGACGGTTTTGTGCCATGAANTTGTGGATTTTGCTATTTTTGAGAAAGGTTTATGTCTCTAGACTTAAAAGTTGAGATGGTTTTGTGCCATGAATATATATATATATATATATATGTAAATCTCCAGTACTTATGCTAAGAGCTTGATAATTTGAAGTTACCTTTCAGCTTAAAATTTGAGATGGATAGTTGAGCCTCTGAAGTTGATTTTTGCTGTGTTCCAGAGGATTCATTTGTTTCAGGGAGATGTTTTAGTTGGTCATTATTGACTACGACAATTCAAATTTAAGGGTTAATCACCAACTAACTGTAATTAACAGGCCAGGTTGTATTAAGTGTTGCTGTACAGGTCGCATTCATGGAGAGTCGAAGGCATATAGTAAAGCCAAAACACATTTATCTTGTGCTTAAAAACTCTCAAGTTACCAATCCGACATTGTTTGTTAAGCAATCCAATTCAATGAACGTCAATAATTATAGAAATGCTTCTTTTCCCGATTCACCGGAAGACAGGAATTTACAGATCTGAAAGAAGTCAAAAACTAATGAAATAAAGGCCAAGTAGGGACGGACTCACATGCTCAATTGCCATTGCCGATACCGATACATATATCTATATATGTATCTGGAAGAAGAATTGGCTGGCGAGCGGAGGATGCGTTCGCTATAAATTCTCCTTGCAATTTTTCTTATGATGGATCAAGAGGAAGGAGCAAACAAGAAAAGGAAGAAACATCTCTCCCTCCAGCTCTCCCNCGGAGGATGCGTTCGCTATAAATTCTCCTTGCAATTTTTCTTATGATGGATCAAGAAGAAGGAGCAAACAAGAAAAGGAAGAAACATCTCTCCCTCCAGCTCTCCCTCTCCCTCTCCCTCTCCCTCTTACCAAGTAAAGTAAGTACCAAGGCTAGGCTAGGCTAGGCTAAACCGATAAAACCCGCAAAAGCTGTGCAAACATCAATCAATCTAAAAGCATAATAATAATAATAATAATAATAATAATAATAATTTTGGGAGTAAATATGAAAGGTAAGTGTAAGTCTTAAAAAATTAATTTAAAATATGGCCTTGGGTTTAAAATGGAACAATACTTACTATATAAACCATGATGAAAAAATATAGGAGGCATTGATGATTTTAAATGAATAAAAATAATATTAAAAACATCATCACATCAACCCAAATCAACCAAATANATATAGGAGGCATTGATGATTTTAAATGAATAAAAATAATATTAAAAACATCATCAAATCAAACCAAATCAACCAACCAACCAACGCTAACGAATCATTTGATCGTGTATTTACCTTCTGCTCAATCTACCCTAGCTTTATCTTACAAGTGATATGACAAGACGAGGTGATGTGAGGCGAGGCAGGGAGTAAGATGGTTGTGTAACTGTAATGGGATATAATAATTAATGAACTTTAATCATAATAATAGTGTCTCAACTANATGTGAGGCGAGGCAGGGAGTAAGATGGTTGTGTAACTGTAATGGGATATAATAATAGTGTCTCAACAANTGACAAGACGAGGTGATGTGAGGCGAGGCAGGGAGTAAGATGGTTGTGTAACTGTAATGGGATATAATAATTAATGAACTTTAATCATAATAATAGTGTCTCAACAAAAGTGTTGCCCAGACCCTCCCCAAATATGGCCATTTGCAAAAAACTAAACAACAATCCATCCACACAACTGATAAAGATAAAGATAATGATACAACGTAAATAAGGGTATTAATTTTTGGGAATTTGAAATCTGTCTGCAGCACTATTCCTACAGCAATTTCCCATAATATATATATATATATATTGCTTAAAAAACACATTCCAATACAAAACCATATCATCATCAGATATATTTCTCCTCAGCTGGATCCATAGCCCAACAGTTCCCACCTGAAGGGTCGGAACATGTAGAGAACCTCAGGTGAGCTCTTAAACAGAAGTGCCACACAAACACATACAGCAGCTATCGCCACCATTGACAGCATTGCAGGCCTATACAGCAGGGATCTGCTCGCATTTCGTCTAACTACCTTCTGATCACAGAGCCTACATGCCCTCTGAATGGGCCTCACCCCACTCCCTCCAATCTCAAAACTGGTGGTTCCCTCTTCTTGCTTCTGCTTCACCTTCCACTCTGACAATGTACCAGGAATGTCTAGCACCACATGCTCAGAAACTGCTTTCTTCTTCATTTTTTTCTGCACCAGGTGAATGTACGAGTAGTGTCCTCGCAATCGCGCATAGTCTTCGGGTGTGCAACCTGTGCTGTCACGAGCATTCTTCCATGCTTCAACCCCCACCTGAACCAAGCCAATATTAGCATCCTCACGGGGAAATGGCCAAGGAGATGCAGTAAAACAACAATATGTTACTTTCTATCGCGCAATTGGTCACTAGACCAGTCAAACACTTGGGGTTGGTCTAAATAGACCTAATGAAATTGTATCAAGAGATCAGATTAAAGATGGCCCTGCTGTCAAAGCTCACTGCCTTGCATGTGTCATTACCAATTTTCCTCTCAGACTTGTACACGATCCCATCAAAAGGTTAAAGGCTTAAAGCAACCAAAGAGTGGATAGAGTATGGTCCAATAGCATTCATGCAAGTTTCAAAAGATAAAGGAAGACACAACTTGAGCACAAATTTGAGCGCCAGCACAGAACTTGTAGTTACTATGAGGTGAGAATGAGCTTACCTTTCCATGATCATCGGTTAATGCATCAAGAACTTCCTCCGAACCATCTCTACCAGCTGCAACATGAAGAGGTGTCAATCCAGCTGGTCCTACAGCATCAGGTCTAAACAAGAAGCTCTCATCACCACCAACCAGCAAGATGTGTTCCATTCTCAGTTCATCTGCAATTTTCTCCGGGACATATCTCAATAGGAGCTCCACCAGAGACCTAGAATTTCTCCGCACGGCTCGGTGAAGGAGGCCCATCTCAAATAGAGCAGACTTCAGAAAAGGTTGCTCTCCTGACCCCACAGTGCCATCAAGAAGAATGTCCAAAAGGTTTTTGACTACAGCACACCAATCATGGTCCATGGAAAACTCTATGAGCCACTTGAACCGTTTGAAAGGAAACAGGTCTGAATTAGGATCCAAGTGGCCCAATCTAGACTTCAAGCCATTTCTATGAAGAAGCCAACCCATTTCATGAACAAAATCCATTGCTCGATCCCTTGCTTCCACCTTCCCAGCTACTCCTGGGATGTCATCACCCTCAGTTACCTCTATTTCACTCTCAAGCATACGGATCTCAGAGCAAACATCCCTCTCTGCAACTATGAAAGGAAAGAAGCTGCCGCCAAGACCATGATCTTCAATCTGAAGAATCCAAAGGTTACATCCTCAGCTAACAGTGTATACGGCAACATCAAAGTTCAGAAAAAATATATATTTATATAAATAGCACACACAAGCTCATGCATGTGTCTAGACACCTGTCAATGGACCATTAGCAGACTGGCTCATCATAGCTACCATGCCTTGCAGGGCCAAGCCCGGACAAACATCCACAGTAGTGATGGTCAGACATGTGATATGTTGTTTGAAGACAATGCATATCTTACCCATAGAGAGAGAGATAGAGAGAGACACACACACACAGAGTACCTCGATGAATCCTCTTCCAGTAACTGCAGGTATATTACAAGAGAAGCTCACACACTGGAGCTCACCATGCTCCTTGAGGCTGTCAGAATCCTCCTCCAACTCATTATTAGCTTCCTGAACCAGATAATTACCTTCTAGTGCACAAAGTAACCTGACAACCAGAGTAAGGAAAATAGACGGGATTTAGTAACAGCATACTAGTTCAACACAAACTACAAAGGTAATGAAACCATATTAAAAAAAATAGCATGCAAATTTGTTTGGCTTTAGGTGATTGACAATCAAAACAAGGAAACACTCAATCACAAAGGAAGAATGACAAATACCTGTTAGAAGACCTTGATAAATTAAAGCCTTTAACTAAAATTTGAGCTCTCTCAGATACTGGTATTGCAATAGGTTTGACACTTAGAATTTCACTACAATTGTAACTTTCTAAAGGTAAGGATGTGTCCACAACCACCTGACCTGCAACACAAGAATGGAACATGAATAATTAACCTTCCATGTAGAAAAGTCAGTTGTATGTACACAGTCCACAACCACAGAATTATAATTAGTAAAAAAGACCAAGTTCATAAAATGGGAACAGACCATTGCACATATATGCTATTTGGTTCTGCACCCTAACAGAAACCCATCCAGTTCTCCAGAATGTGTCCTCGTCAGAGGCATCCAGAAGCCTACTCAAACTGGCGCCCAGATCACAGCAAAGCTGGGTGGAACAATAAGAAAAGATTAGGACTTGCCTTAATAGAAGATCCCAATCCCACAACCATGGTTTTGTGAGAAAAAAAGCTCACCTCCTCCCATACTGTCTCTGATAGACGAAGATAAATCGTTAAAATGATACAACCCGGCCTAATATAGCTCTCAATGTCAGTAGGACTGTGAGACAACCAATCAAGAATCTGGCAGTTCAAACATCTCACATAGTTAAACTTTTGGCGGAAGGAAAAAAACAAGAGCAATTATTTTTGCCAAAAAATTAAATAAAATGACAAAGCACTCAAATAATTAAAGTTGGAAGTACCTGTGCTCGCAGGACATAAGGAAATTCACTTGGTTCTTTCCCAAAAAGTTTGACAACAATTCGTTCAGTGCGGCTCTAGAATAACCAAAAAAAAAAAAATAGAAGTTAAAACAATAAATGCAAGAAATGGGAACTATCCAGCAATTACATCATCGATCTGGTTCAAAGTGATATTCTTTGCTCAAAACAAATAAGACGTAAATTAATACTTTTGATTAACCATAAAATCTAGAACAAAGAAAAAGAGTATCCACTAAACGTTGCCTGAAACAAGTCAACAGTAATATTTATAATTGATACAAAATAAGCATCTTCTAGTTGCTTCCATTCTAAATATACCTGAGCATCTCCACTGGAACTAGAAGGTGACTGGGTAGATGTCGAATCTGAATTTCCACTTGTCTGAGGCGGACTTGACTGATGAGAGTCTTGTTGCACCCATGAAGGGCATTCAAGAGAACCAGTCACCAAACCCACAGGAACCGGTGATCTCTCTATATCTTCTATGCCATCATCTGAATCGATATAAACGTCATTCAAATCAAAATTATTCAACTTACTCCTCCCTGCAGAACTGTCTCTGGCTTCTGCGGAAGCTGCAGGAATGCTTGATCTTTGAGACGATGTGGTCTGTATATCTTCAACCCTTGCACCGTTGACATGCATTTCTTTCTGAGGAATCTCAGATACAGGTATTGAGCAATGTTGTTGATTAAGTCTTGGAGAGCCTTGGGAACCATTTGAGAGCAAAGCTGCAACCATTTCTAAGTTTCCATGAGAATGCCCATTGTTCGGCATATTGTGAGGTTCCTGCAAGAGCCCAGATATGGCTTTATCCCCATGCAGGGCACCCTGGCTGGCAAGGCTTCTTAAAAGATGAGACAGCATATCCTGATCATCTGTGTGGTTTGTCCTATTGACTGCAAATTCATGGAAGCGAGAATCACACAAGTAATTATACCAGTTATAAATATAAGGTAGATTAAGTGGATTAATAACATAAGACCAAAAAACACAATCGCCCAAATTGTTTTCCTTAATTTTCTTCTGAGGCAATTGTCCAGGAGACAATACAAGAGAAAGGATAGTACGCTCCGGATTAAATTAGTACCCTTTTTATATAATGGAATTTCAGGAAAGATGTGCTTTGAGTGCTCAATACTAATAAGCTCATCCTTCTTTTCAAACTTTTCTATCTTGATAAATCTTATTCCAGTATCCAAGGAAGCATGGACACCTTAATTAGTCCAGAGTGTCACTTTTAAGCACATCTGGGACACAGGCACACTTCGGACATGCCAAAATGAATGTTAGACTTTTCTATTACCATTCTTTTTTTCCGACACATTGAGAACATGCGATTGAATGCACGGGACATGTAAAGGACAAGTTTCGCACATGTTGAGGACACAACCAACACACACTAACCGTTGAGAACATGTTTTGGGGTTTTTTTGTCAAATTTTAGAAACAAGTCATATTACTTTATACATTTTTTTTATTTATTTATGGGAAACAAAACATATTGTATTAAAATAAAACGGGAATTACATGAAAGGCGGGATAAGAAATCCAACCACCAAAGAGAAAAAAAACAAAGAATGGCAAAAACATAAAAAGTCTATAGATCACATGAAGCTCTCCAGCTGATAAAATAGTAAAGAATGGGATTCCTTTGAAACCTTTAGAAATCAAAGCCCAAAATGCCAAAATAANAAATCCAACCACCAAAGAGAAAAAAAACAAAGAATGGCAAAAACATAAAAAGTCTACAGATCACATGAAGCTCTCCAGCTGATAAAATAGTAAAGAATGGGATTCCTTTGAAATCTTTAGAAATCAAAGCCCAAAATGCCAAAATAAATGAATTTGATCCCATAATCCATTCAGACACACACACCGATCTTCAAGGATTCTTACATTCCTCTTTTTCCATATAACCCAAAAAAGTTGTCATGATAGCACAATTCCAAAGAGTGACACCCTTATTAAGAGACCCAACTCCTTTCAAGTCTTCCACAAACAAAGAATTGGATGATGTGTAAGGAACCCATTTCAAACCCACCAAGTTAAGCAACTTGTACCACAAAGACAAAGCAAGAGGGAAATGTAGAAATAAATAGTCAATGCTTTCATAATCACCATATGACTTTTATCAGTAAAGAAGCATTTTTATATTTTCAAGAGATCGAGGTCAAAGTTGTGAAATGAAATATGAGATATAAGCAAACTTTTATTCCATCTATTTTTCCCTATCCAAAGAGAAGTGTACCTAGTAGAGTAGGATTTATCTTTAGCATTTACGTCATATATAATGGATTTTCAGTTTGATAGTGTTTATGAAATTGGGATTGTTGGGATAAGTCTGATATAATAATCTACTATTTAGATCAAAGTGTGACTTTAATTTGATTACTCTCTGTGGAGAATCAAGTTTTTTAACCTCATCCGTGAGAGAATTTGGTGATTCCCTTCTTCCCTTCCCAGTATGCATTACTTTGATACTTTGTTTTTGATTATATGGTATTGTAATACGAATTGTTGGAATTGTGAAAAAATTGAAGTCAATGATTATTATTAAGCAACATTTACTCAATAACTGAAATGATATGGTGAAATTGTTGCATTAATGACTTGACTGTTGATATCTTATAATATGTAGATTTTTTATCTCTTAATTTTATTTTAAATTTTAGTATTTTATTATATGGAAAAATATAAATATCACACATATATAACATCCGGCGTCACCATATCCTACTTTTTTGGAAAATCTTGTATCGGTGTGTCCTTGTCCATGTTTGGGTCATATCCACGACCCGTGTCCATTCCTTACTTCCTAGCCAATAGCCACTGAATGTGTATATCAATAGACGTAGATATTCTTACACAAAAAGATTAACAGAAACATATGCAAGCATTGGTACCATTTAACCTAGCTCCAAATTGAAAATCAGCAATAAGCCAAGGAACTTTTTTTTCTTTTTTCCATGAGTATAAAAATAGGATTGCAAACTCCTTGGGAGCATGCCAGCTTTTTTCTCTCCACACTACCACAGCAGAACAGGTGGGTTTGCCTCCCGCCCCTCCTCATCCCCCATCACCTACTGCAAAGCACAACTAGGTCCAGCATATCCCAAGCAACACTAAATAATGAAAAAGGAAGCACCAAACTCTCCGTAGACCAACTATAAAGCAAGAAATGGTCATCAAGAATGACATTGCAGAAAGTATTCTACTCTTCAAATCCTCTGCTCGACCTTGCATATTTTTGTCCTAAAGTTGATCAAATGATGACTACCAAACTCTACAACACATCCGCCACCAAGACCTCTCTATTTACGGCAGTAACAAATATTCATATACTCTTCTTTTAATGCCATATTCCAGTACCAAACAAAATGACACACTACAGGCCAATTTCCGTCACAAACCAAAAAGCCAATATATTTCAGGGGTTCAGGAAACTTTGACTTACCCTTTAGAACACAACATGATACATTCACCTCCCTCGTTGCCACTGCCCTCCCAATCATGTAATTCCCTTCTACCACCTTCAATACAAATCTCCATCAAAGTTTCTATGCAATGCCTTATCGAAAGCACCCAACTTCCTTACTTCAAACATTACTATAATATTACACACTGAGTAGATATGGAAAGACAAAAAAGCAGACAATAATTAATCAGTTGTTGTCGTTAAAATTGATTTCCAAAGAAAATAATTGAAATCCAATACACGGTATACATTCAACTTGTGTGTTCAAAATTGATGGTTCAACCTTCATAACTAAGGATGGGTTAATTCCAACCAGCCGACCAAAGGATGGTTCAGCATGAAAATGAGTGAGAATACACATGATGGCCAAACTTGTAAGCACAAACATAAGGCACACCATCAACATACCCCATCTTGCAAATATTCCACTGTTTCTTGATTGTCAACTTTATTGCTAATTGGAGCCAAAGAAATATCAAGGGTCATCATGACATATGGCAAAACTTAATTCGATTTAAACAAAACAAAAAAAAAATCGCAGAACCATGTCAAACAAAATACAATTTGAAGTTTATACAAAATATTAGGAAGACGTGTCATGATACTCACAATGCATGTTTGAAAGTATCCTTTGCAGACTTATCAACAGAGAACCACTAGCCTGGTTATCATTGAATGAATTGCTATTAACGACATTGTCAGGTTGTGCCTTCCTCCTCCTTTTATTATGACCAGCCAAACGTCTCCGACAACTTCGCTTCCCTTCATCAAACTCTTGAAGTGCATGAAATCTGCAAATAAGAGCCAAGGTATCGGCAAGCAAGCAAAGAATGTTTCAAAACAGGACCCCGAACACTTAAGAGTCGTAAAACCCTATGCCTTAAAAGAATTCTTAAGAAGGAAACAACAATGTTGACATGTTGTGTTCCTAAGTATGAAATTAATGCATTGAAAATTGGGATTGCAATGGGAGGGAAAGTCCATCAGAAGTTGAAATGTGGTCTTCAATTTCAATTTCCAAACAACCAACCAAACCAAGTCTTATGTCTCAATCATTTGGAGTTAGCTATTTGAGTCCGTTTTCGCCATTCATTTCAGTACTACGCTATACGCTTGTTTAAATTAAATATTTTTATATCTTTTCTTATCATTTCATTCAATATTAATTTAGGTCTACTCCTACTCCTATTATCTTCATGAGAAATTCTATCACTTTTTTCTAACATAGCCTCTATCGGTCTTCAATTTCCATGCTCCTAAAAGCAAACGATGTTGTTCATCAGCTGGGGTTATAATATTAGTAATTCTTGCATCAGATGATAGTAAGTTGTGGGTATAGATATGCCAACAAGTGAAAGCATCAGACGAATTAACACTGACCTGCTGCACTGCTGGCAGAATCTCTGCATAATGTTGCCAACAAGCGCCCTACCGGCCTTGGAATGTATCTGGCAAACCTTATGTCGTCTGTGATAATCCTTGGCCTTGCTCAGATCAGCACCACAGTCCTCTACCTGACAAACCGCACGGTTGGAAGTAGCCCCTACCAACTTGGTCTTCTTCCCACTTGTCCCTTCCCAATTCCCCACTCCCCTTTCAGTCATCGAATAGGCATGTCCACCAAGCTTTAGAGTGAGGCTAGCAGACCCGTCTTCCAAATTATCATCTTCTACTACAATTACCCTCCTCCGCTTCTCCAATTCCATTTTCTCTTTCTCAATCTCAAGATTTACCTCATCAGAGAACGAGGATGAGCTGTTTGAAGATGCCCCGGCCATAGGTATTCCAGTTTCAGTTGGGAAGAATTGCCGGCTAGGGTAGTTCGAGGGATTGGAATTCAAAGAGCTAGCAATGAAGAGATCACCATCCCATTTCCAATCGTTAGGATCCCATTCCAGACTCCTCTTCCCCATCGCTCGCATATCAGCAGCACCCAGCCCATAAAAAAGCTGGGCTTCACCTCCAATTCTAGCTTCCATTCTCTTAGAGAGCAGAATTTCCGAAGATCCAAATCTGAGCCAAGAGCCCAAAAGATGCAGAAAGAACCAGGCGATCAAACCTTTTGTCCAATCAAGATCGGAGCTCAAAAAAGCTCCCCAAGCAAAAAAGAATAAAAAATTAACATGAGCTAATCAGCCTCGGTTCTTCCCCAAAAGTCCAAAAACAGTACACCGACACATCCATGATTCCAATTGAGAGTAACCCACATACCCAATTCACTGCAAATAAACCAAAATACTGTTCCCAAATTTAAAAATAAATACACAAGAGCACGAACCCCAAATCACCTCAATAATTTCTGGTAATCGAAAGCTAACAACTGTAACTGAAACACAGTACACAATTACAATAATCGGTGAAACTTGGGCGCGACAGGGTGGCTGTGCAGCTGAGGCCGGCGCCGGCGGTGAATGGTGGTCGGAAAAGGAAAGAAAGACAGGACAAGTTGGGGTGGGGATGGTGGCGAAAGGTTCGGATGGATGGATAGGAATGTGGATGTGGAGGACTAGTGGCGTGATGTGGTGGTTTTTCTTTCTTTGTTTCTTTTTCTTATTTTTGTTTGTGAGAAAAATTGGACGAAAATGAATAATCAATGAGAGGAGGATGAGCTAACAAGTGGACCCACCGCGTGTCTGTCGCCCTCACGATAACAGAAAGAAGATGGTTCGCTGTTTTGTTTGTGTGTACTATTACTATTACTATTACTATTACTATTACTATTACTATTACCANAGGAGGATGAGCTAACAAGTGGACCCACCGCGTGTCTGTCGCCCTCACGATAACAGTAAGAAGATGGTTCGCTGTTTTGTTTGTGTGTACTATTACTATTACTATTACCATGACTATCTCTCTCTCACCACCAGTCCACTGCCACTTCTATTTTAGTTTCATCCATCTGGCTTTACATAATATTATTATATATTACAAATTACAAAAAAAAAAAATTGAGTGTGAAATATGTCTTCTATTTGTTTTTTTTTTTATAAAATGTTATTTCGTGAAATATGTCTTCTATTTTACAAACTTTAATAATTGTAAATACACAAATGTAACCAGAGATGATCTGATCCAAAAATAAAATATAATTAAATATTTTTTAATGCTCAGATTATGATTGATGATATATAAGAGGAGGAGGAGGAGGGGGAGACAACTCGCACATAAGTCAACTGAAGTGAAATTAGGTCATCGCAATTTACCTCATTTTTCATTTGAAGTTAGTGGCTCACACATAGTTTAGTTAATAATCTATGGAAGACTGGGTTGCACTCCATAACTTCAATACCAATTATAACCATCACAGTCCATCTATACATACATAATAATATATATATATATTTTGATGCAATAATTATATATATTCTTAATAAAATCTACAGTTCATTTCAATAAAAATATACACACATACGATAATTTGTATTTACAATTCGAGATCATGCATGCATGCTTGATAATATAATGTAATTATTTTTTCATGCAATAATTATAATATGGGTAAATCCAAAATCTTAGCAAAAATTAAATAAAATTGTTACATATATAATGAGTTGGCAGACAAAACAAAGTGGATCGACCACTTCTCTTTCGCCAAGCACGATATCCCACCACCTTGAAGCATATTCGGTGTTTCCCAATTACATTATTTACATTTGTTCTAATGCTTCTCACAATTATCTTCTTCTCTTTTGCCCTTTTGTTTTTTTCTTGAAACTTTTTTGTAATTTCCAACCATTATGTTTGCCTTCCTTCTGTATATGTTAGAGATAATCTATATCTGAAGACATAGTAAAACAGAAGTAAATATTGATAAATTTGAAGAAAAAAATTTAATATGAATAATTTTGAAAGGGATGTTGATAGTTGTTAGATGAGTCAATTTAAAATCGTCAGATGAACTTATTAATATTTGTCATATTTTATATTATAGATATATAATGACTACTCCTGCATTTTATGTAAGGATAGAGTTATTCCCACCCCACAATTTTTTGTTCACACCCTATTAAACTATAAGTAATAAAACTATTAAGTTCACTCAATTCATATCCACTACAGTATTAACTAACTCCACCTTATTCTATATCTACCTTTATTAATAACTAAACTAATATTAATCTTTTTTCTAGTGTTTTTTTTTATACCCTATCTCATACATACTATATATAATATATTCAACAAGACTATCTTTTAAAACTGAACAAATAATTTTCGTATAGACCGTCTGATTTAAGAAAGGAGACTTGATGGTCTTTTTTCTTTTACTTTTCAAGAAACTTAGCTTTCAATGTGATCTCTAAAGGCATATTCAATTCTTACTCAAATTTAGATTAAAATTTAAATTTTGAGTAAAAAAGTATAAAAAACTTGTTTCAACTCTTGATTCAAACTTATACCAAATTAAAAGAAACTAATTTTTTTACTCAAATTAAGAAATACTCAAATCTTTGATGGTGATATTTCACCATTTTTTAAAAATCTAATTGTCAACTTTACTCTCATTTAAATTTTGATTTATCCTCATTTAAATTTGGATCTTCCATTCTTTAAATTTGAGTTTGTCCATAACAATCTTTTATATCAAATCAAACTTTTTACTCAAATGTTAATTTAAATTTGAATCATAATTGAAGATGCTCTAATAAAAACTCCAAGAAATTTCTTTTTATATATGAAGAAATTGCATGTGAAGAACAAAAATTTATCAGTGAATTCTTTCAATTGGCGAATAAGAAGAGAAAGAGAAAGCGTATAGTAGAATCAGAGTATTATTTCGACAATGAGATCAGAGAAGATAAAGATCGGACAATAACAATTAAAGCAATTTGTATGAAAAAAATTTAGAGGAGAAACCAATTGAGTATATTTTATGGTATAAACTATGTGAGATGAGTATAAAAATAAAATCTAAATGTGAAAATTGAAATAAGTTTTATTATTAATGGGGGTGGATATAGAATAGAATAAACTTAATTATTAGTGGGTAAGTATAAAAAGAGTGAACTGAGTAATTTTATGACTTAAATTTAGTGAAACGGAAACAAAAATTTGTGAGAGTGAAAATAATTCCATGCAAACACTTATCGAGAATTTAATAAAAAAAGAAGGAGAAAACGCAAGGCAAGGCATGGGTATGATGGGATGTTTTATGCCCGATGGAGTGGCGTCTTACTAGTAGGGTAGATATATACAGGAAAGGCAATATTATTGGGATCCAATTTTTTGGTTTTATTTGTTGATGTAATTTATTATGACATTTAAATTAATTATGAGTTTTATTAAACATTAAAATTTGACGTTGATCTAATGGTTTCAATGAAACCACATTATTAAGTCAACAAATTATATTAAATTTTTAGATTTAAATAGTATTACTCATAAGACTAGTTTGTTTTGGGGATAACAGTGGTATAAGTAGGTGAGATTAAGAAAAAAATACGTGAGATCCACTTTATATTNACAGTGGTATAAGTAGGTGAGATTAAGAAAATAGTACGTGAGATCCACTTTATATTTTGTTTGTTTAGTATTTTACAGTCAGTATTATTTTTTGGATCGTAATACCGATTTAATATGAACAGTAGTCATAATGCATTGTAGATGATATTAATGAATACCATATACCAGGTGATATTATTTTAATGGATTAAATAAAAGGACGGTACACACATGCAAATTGACATAAAATGTCCTCAGTTTACATATAAAAAAATTATTTTAAATTTTTTTTTGTATTATGTTTAAGTGTATAATGTCACTGAATTTTTTTTTTAAAATTATTTTAGTTTTTTAACTTGTATTATGTTTAAGAGTACGGTATTACTTGGTTTTTTTTTTTTTTTTAAATTATTTTGAATTTTTTTATTATATTATGTTTAAGCGTACAGTGTCATCGATTTTTTTTTTTTTAAAAATTTATTTTCTTATATTAGGTTTAAGCGTACGGTGTTAATGGTTTTTTTTTTTTAAATATTTTCAATTTTTTTTTTGTATAGATGATTAAGGGTAAAATGTATATTTGTTATATAATATGTGATAGAATAGATTGTTGTTTGTGGGACGCACAATAATAACTATTGAACAAACAAACATGGGAGGAGATTAAAATAATTTATATTACTGATACTAATATCCCTTGGTATTGGAAATACAAGAAATATATTTCTAATACCACTCATAAATAATACTCAAAACAAACATGCCCATATAGTAATAGTACCCCTCATTTTACCAAATATGTGAGTTCGCTAGTTTTTATCTGTTTATTTTTTAAATATTTTATTCAATCTCAAATAATAAAATATTTTTAAGACTTGATTTGAAACAAAGTCAAATTTGTATTCGAATAGTCCAAAGACAAGTTCGAGTACTCATTTATTAATGGACCCAACTTAGATTGGGCTTAAAATTACAGAGCAGATACAAATTACATACAAGACCCCACTTAGAGGTTCAATTTATGAATACAACTCATCTAAGAAAATAGGAAGTTAAGTCAACCACGACATCTTGAGAGAGAGTCAAGTTAGCCCGCCTCATGGTGAAAGACTCAATCTATAACTAATAGGCAAATAGATCTCTTTGGGCCGCGCACTTCACAACCTCTACAGAATTATCTCACCTATTATGAGAAGGACGCCACCTCTACCAAACTATCTCACTTGATACGGGAATTGCACCTCGATATGTTAATAGCGTCTATAAATTATAAGTCTCATCTACACAAGGATAATATCGCACACATATCACTCACACTTGAGTATCGTATACTCCTTGAAGCAATAAAACACTTGAGTTATTTTAACTATTTATAGTGGACGGAACCATTTTAAATTATGTTTTACTGGTATTAACTTTTCTCTTTTATTATTGCATTAAATATGGTGTATAAATACATTTTTATGCATCATCATTTATAAATCAGATGGATTCATTTGTAATTAAGAATGAACAGGGTTAGGTGGTTACCATCCTGCCC